ATCAAGTAACAAACATACACACTCACACACTCACAACCTTTCGCCTTTATAAAATTAGTGTGATATTCTCGGCAAAATTTTCTCAGAATCCATTCGTAGGTAAAGATTCTAAGAGCGTTAACATAAATAATGCATCAAATTCTATTTTCCCGAGTAAATCATATAAGCTCTAGGCTTGTTGAAAATATATCGATGTATCGATATATCGATATTTTTTGTTCGATATATCGATATTTTTTGCCGATATATTTTGATTCGATATATCGATACATCGATACAAAATAACCAATATCGAAATTCGTATCAAAAACGATATTTTTTTGATTATTAGCGGCATATCACGATCTAACTAAATTCGTATCTGGAAAAATCGTAACTGGATCTCAGATTAATGATATTCAACATATCTATGATCTGTGCTTTTTTTAGTATTGTCTATGTCATCATTCGAAAATAGGGTCTATTTTTAGGGAGATAATTTTCGTTCCATTATTATTCCGCGTGTCATATTTCGTGAGCTACTGTACGATATTTTTGATAAAATTGGTCCGATATATCGATGTTTTTTTCGCGATATATCGAAGCCGATATTGATATTTTTTTAAAAGATCGATGTATCGATATATCGATATTTTTTTCAACTTTCGACATCCCTAATAAGCTCTCCTTTAAGGGAGCTAATTGCGAGATATACTCACTCACATTATTTATAGAACAATCAAATGTAGGTACTAATAGTTAGTATAATTCTAATCAGCGAATTGTTTTCAAGATAAAAAAAAAATCTCTTGCGTATACTAAAGATGCCATTCATTATTCAGTAGGTCATTGCGGTCGCGATTTTTCATACGAGATAAAGGAGGTCGGGCAAACAAAGGTTCCCCAAATAGTACAAACACGGCGTGAACAAACAACTACAGAACGAAACGTGGGGCCGATAGTCCCATAAATAATGCAACGGTATCGCGTCGTCTCTGATCTATTATAGTTAAACAAACACACTTGGATTGTGGGCTCCCTGGCATTGATTGTGGCAGGTACTGCCAGCCAATTTGATTACGAACCCACTTTATTCTTATTCATTTTTCATTAATGTAATATATTTACATCAATTGTAAGTAATTTTATCGAATTAAAGGTTTTCAATATTTTTTTTTTAAACACACCAATCAGCCTGGTCCCAAAGTAAGCACTATAAGGCTTGTGTTATGGGATACTAGGGTAACGGATAGAATACATATACTGTACATATATAAGTATATTTTTATAGAAATACATATCAAACATCCATGACTGGAGTACAAATGCTCGTATTCATCATACAAACATCCGCCCCCACCGGGATTCGAACCCGGGACCTCTCGAGTCGGCGACACCATGAAACCCGGCGTAACCACTCGGCCACGGAGGTCGTCAATTTGATTTTATTTGAATGAATTAATTTAATGCAATGTAACTGTTGTTGTTATTTGTTATTTTATATAACTAGAATTTTTGTGTATGCATGTTAATCTTGATCGATTCGTCAATTATTATTAACAAGTCAGTACTTTGTTGATTGTAATATCTCGTCACATCTACGGCATACTTACGAATTTGCTTTTTAGTAAAAATCTATAATAACAAACTGCAGATAATGGGGTACGCTCACATGTAGCACATAGACACAAACACAGTAAACCACACACGCACGTACACATGCATCACACACACACACCCACACGCACACACACATACACATACACACGCACACACAAAACACACACACACACACAATATGATCGTAGGAGTACCACCTACTTCTGTTGGATTTCTTTTGCATTTCTCGCTTTCATCTAATAGTACAGTCAATCTGTAGGTTGAGTGGTGAAAAAAAAACCTAAAAGGTAAGTCTTGTTTTTTCTGTTGCCAAATGACGTCAGTAAGCTACCTTGGCGATGGGCATGTTCAACTCGTAGGCGTTTTTTGAAAAACTCAAAAAAATCGTCAAAAAATTTTTAAAACGCATTTGTCTTGTTTTGTATGCATTTTAGAGACTTTTTTTCGAACATAATTGTAGAGGGCGTTGAGTACTACAATTTATGTCATTGTTGCAATCTCGCACCACAAAAAATGCGCATTGTAGGTGGCGCTAAAGTTTCAAAAAAGTGTTTTTTCACTTTTTCACCCTGAAAATATCATTTTAATGGAAAACTTTAAATGGCAAAGTTGTTTCGTACATAATTACCAACAACTTTTGTATAAACAATTTTTTTGCCTACGAGTTGAACATGCCCTTCGCCAAGGTGGCTTACTGACGTCATTTGGCAACAGAAAAAACAAGACTTACCCTTTAGGTTTTTTTTTTCACTGAAACGATATTTTTTTCGACAGATTGACTGTACTATAAGGAGAAGTGGGTGTGGCTGAAAACCAGCGCTGCCCGAGACATTCTGTAACGAAGCAGTTTATGCTGAGACACATCCATTTGCTCTTCACGCTGTCATATCGCATTGTACTATGTATTAAACTGTGTATTACTGTGAGAGCAATAAAAATATTTCTATTCTACTTAACACCAGGGAAAAGTCACACAATTTTATCAATGACGATTCTAAAAGTCTGATTATTTGAATCTGCATTTTATGTTAATACACCCAAAGTAAACTTATCCAGAGAGAGAGGAGCTCGATGGCGCAAGTGGTTAGCGCATTCGGCTGCGATCGTTGAAGTTAAGCAACTTTCGCAGTGGTCGGTCATTGGATGGGTGACCAAAAATTTACTATCTTGAGTTCCTCCGTGCTTCGGAAGGCACGTTAAGCCGTTGGTCTCGGCTGCATCTGCAGTCATTAGCACCCGCCAATCCGCACTGGGCCCGCGTGGTGGGTCATGGCCCAATCTCCCTATTCCATCCGTAGGGAAGGCCTGTGCCCCAGCAGTGGGGACATTAATAGGCTGATGATGATGATGATGAAACTTATCCAAAAAATAATATACGATATTTTGGCGTAGTAGGTTTTATGAAATTAAAATTCGTAAGTTTAATATGGAAGTGATGATGATAAGTTATGTAAACCGAATAAAAAATATATTATTTTCTTACAACCATTGCAAAACAATGACATAAACTTTCCCTGTAAACGAACTTGTTATAGCTGAATAATCATTTTGCGAGGAGCTCGATGGCAGAGCCGGACCGTGAGTTAAGCCTTGGGCTAATACTATTTAGGGGCCCACCTCAAAGTATAGAAAAAAATGAGACAGAAAAAAAATATATTATATTATAAAACTAGTTTTTACGAGTTAATGCACGAAACTTTATTTATTTATTGACGTTTCGTAGCCTTTATTCATTTTTTTTGTTTGCATAATTTAACATAAGAAGGAGATAAAAAGCCTCTCTTGAGTTTGTTTCGCCGGTTCTTCTCAGAAAGGTCTCCCAATTTTGGAACCGGTGGTAGTTTACGGTAGTTAGGGTCAAACAAATAAACTCAAAATTACAAAAAATAATTTTAAATAAAATACTTTATTAAGTAAATTAAATAATAAATTCATACATAGACAATAAAACTTAAAAATCGAACAATGAAATAAACAAACGCTCAATAAAAGTCTTTCGAATGTAGCTCGACAAATTAAATAAAAGTTTTATTCTGACGACGAAGCCTGTAAAGGCTACGAAACGTCAATAAATCAATAAAGTTTCGTGCATTAACCCGTAAAAACTAGTTTTATTTAATGAGTGATGTGCGTGAAAACCTAAGAAACAAATATATTATGCCTTAGTATTATACTACTGTTAATAAATTGACAAATTACAAAGCAACCTTTCTGCAAAGTGCAGACATGGCAAATTCTTTAATTTGCTCCTCACATTCTAGGGGTAATATAGATGGGGTTACATTGAACAATGTATTTTTTCTACATTGAATGTACTTCTAATCATTGAATCTACTGCTTTAAAGAAAATAATATTAATTTTCTTTCCTTAGTGAATCACTAGTTCAGCTTTAGACATCTATTTTAAAAATATTATATCTGCTATGGAATTCAGCGATGTTTGCCTGTCTGAATTTCCGATCTGTTTACTTTAATAAAAGTATGTATTCTTTCGCATTATCGTCTATTTTTGGCTTTGACTTGACTAAGCTGGAGGCCCCTTGAATCCACGGGGTCCTGGGCTGTAGCCCAAAAAGCCATATGGTAGATCCGCCTCTGTGCGGATGGTTAGTGCGTTCGGCTGCGATCGTTGGAGTTCGCAGCAACGGTCATTGGATGGGTGACCAAAAATCTTCTATCTCGAGTAACTCCGTGCTTCGGAAGGCACGTTAAGCCGTTGGTCCCCGCTGCATCTGCAGTCGTTAGCACCCGCTAATCTCACTGGGCCCGCGTGGTAGGTCATGACTCAATCTACATATTTCATTCCATAGGGACGGCCTGTTCCCCAGCAGTGGGGACATTAATAGGCTCATGACGATAATGAATGCAACGGAATATATAATGTAACTTACTTTCAGACGGAAAAAAATCGACAAAAACAAGAATTATACGTCTTGCATTGAGGCTAATGTCACTCCGAAATTAAATAGAGGAACCTTCGTCACTGTCCAATGGATACTTTCTTTTAATTTAACACTCCGTTAAGTCGTGCCTCTTCGATTCTTGATGTTTTTAAACGGTTTCCTAGTTACAGTTATTCCCGTTTTCCTTAACATAATAACGTGGGGACGTGACGACTTTTGCTAATAGGAATACAGTACAATGAAACACACAACATCATCATCTAGCTCCACATAACGCTTTGCACTAAATAAGCAAAATATTCTGTAAATATCAAATTCAATTTGTTATTTTAAAATGAAATGAAACATCTATTCAATAGAATTAATATTTAAGTGGATTTTTAAAGGTATATCACATTAAACAACTACGTCCTGCAATACCATAAAACTGATAGTATTTTCTCTTTGTTTCAGATAATGTTCCTCGGATACAGTGAAGCGTTAGTGCCTTGAGGCAATATGAGAATCAAACGGAGTCTACACGTCAGGCTGATTGCCTTGTGCACGACCTGCTTATTAGTTCCGGCCATCGCTTGCCCCTCCTCGTGCGTATGCAAATGGAAGAATGGCAAGAGATACGTCGAGTGTTCAGATAAAGAGCTCAAGGCGATCCCCAACTCCTTAGACCCCGAGACGCAAGTCCTAGATTTCTCGGGCAACGACCTCCAAGTATTACAAAGGGAAACGTTCCTAAAACTGGGATTGCTGAATTTGCAAAAAATCTATCTGCAGAGATGTAGATTACAGAAAATCGACAGTCACGCTTTCAAAGGGCTCGCGAATCTCGTTGAATTGGATCTGTCGAACAATTATCTTACGTTGATCCCCTCCACGAATTTTCTATATTTTCCGTCGCTTATGCGGCTCACTCTGAACAACAATCCGATAACGAGCATAAAAACACACTGCTTCCAACATTTATCATATTTGAATACGCTGGAACTGAGCGACTGCAAGATTGAAATTATAGAGAGAGAAGCGTTCTCGGGACTGAAGCACTTAGAATGGTTGAGATTGAACGGCAATCGACTATCAAATATTCAAGGTGAAAATTTATTCCCCGACACGCTGCGCGGTATAGACTTGGAAAATAATTATTGGAATTGCGACTGCCATTTACGAGATTTGCATAGTTGGTTGTTGAATTTCAATATGCCCCACACTATTGAACCGGTTTGTTCGCTTCCGGAGCGACTGAAAAAGCGGGTAATAACAAGCGTAGCCGAAGCGGAATTGGCTTGTTTGCCTAAAATGACACCGACATCTGTATTTTTGGAAACGAACGCAGGCAGCAATATTACTCTCGAATGCTTAGTGAAAGCCATCCCTGAGGCAAGATTGACTTGGCTGTACCAAGGCCAGGTTATACATAATTACACTATGGTGTCGGCAGAGCCGCGAGAAGTGTATTATGTCGAGAACGGAGTAACAGATAAGAAAAGCGAACTTTACATATTTAACATTGCTAACGATGACAACGGGACGTATTCGTGCGTGGCAGAGAACCCGGCGGGAAGGTCGATTGCTAATTATACGCTCAGGATCATAGTCAAAGAGGAACCGGTAGTCATTGTTGTGACGTTCCCACAGAGACACTTAGTGGTAATAGTCACAGTAGTATTCCTTATAATTATTCTATTGATAGCTATAATTGCTGTAGTATTACTTAAATTCAAAACAGACACGAGAAGTAGGAAGAAAAAGGAAAGCGGCAAGGACGTCGCTTTGTGCAATCAAATCTTGCCCTCCAACAGGGGCAATGGCACTTTACCCAAAAATAATGGAAGTTTAATTGTGAACGCTCATACGCACCACGCATTACACTATACTGTGCAACAAGCAAACCGTGATTACGAAACCAACGATGTGTATCAAAGCAATAACATGAAAGGTTTCGTCGACAGGAATCCTGACCTAATTAGCGACGCGGAAACAGTCGCTAACAATGCACAAAACGAGAACACAGTACTCTCTGTGTACAAAACGCAAACTGCGAACGGCGATGGGTTTGAAGAGGAAACCGCATTCACCGCTCCGACTATGCCGAGGCAGGTCACGTGGCAGGACCAGCAGAATTTAAACAGTGTAAACATACCGCAAAACACAATCAATAACTTGTATCAGCATTCTGCTGACGTACATTTAAATCCCGGTTGTTTTTTAGACGGCGATGGCTACCCTTACGATTACGGCCTGCCTAAGCACCCTTGTCGGCCGCCCGTTATGTCTAATTATTCAGTGGTCGGGCCCTTCTATCAAACTCTGCCTCACAATAGGTCTAAGGGACAAAAACTCGTCTGCAAATTCGCCAAAGATACGGAATTCAACACGACACCCCCGCCTTGTTCTAATTTCGAGGTATTCAGCGCTCCGAACGTGCGGCGGACTTTGGAAGGGTACCCCGTACCAAGGAACCGGCAGATAGCTTTCGTCGGAAACGGGACAGTGTATTACAATGAGGAGTTTGTTCCGTCACCGCCTGAGGGTTATAAGACGGAAACGGTGCAGTGTTGCGCCCCTGCTGAAGCTTGCACGTCCTGGGTGAATCCTAAGGGAACATGTGCGGTCATGGTGCCTATTGGTGTTGCCGAAGCCCCAGGCAGGTGCTACCAAGTCGAAACTCGGTGTGTGGACACTCAAACGATGGACGCTCGAGTGCCGGGCGAGGGAACGGAGAATGTTCTGAAGCCTCTACCCCAAGTGTCAAACGCTAAATGCGCGTCGGACATATGTTCCGAAAGTCCTGACGAGGGTTACGTAGGTGACGCCAACGACATCTGACGACGCCGCCGCGACGATAACTCGTGAACAGGGCGGGAACAGTTTAGACGCTGATAAAGTGATAAAGCGACTGAATTTAAGTAGTTATTATGTACAGTTCTACGGAATACAAACAATGAGCATCTCCCAAATGTTAGTTTTGAAACAAAACTTCTCTGATTGTTGCAATTGTTAATCAAACAAATTGACGTTGTTTGCGTGAATATTGTGTTTAGTAACGAACCCCATTGTTTCGATAGCACCTGAGGGATGTTTGATTGTTTCACCACTTCGTCATGCAAATAATAATCATTACCAATATTTTTCTAGTGAAATCCTAGCGTAAGTTTTTTCACGGTTCTGTTATACGTATTGTTAATTAATTTTAACGTACTTGCACAGGTACAATATGGTAATTTTGTGGTAGGGTTCATTATCATTTCAATATTGTTACCTACCTTATAATTAAAATTTACGTCACTACACTTGTATTATTAAGCACGTTCACAATCAATAGACTGTGTTAATGGAAAAAACTTTTGTTTTGCTTAGATTTAATGTAGCTTTTTATATAATGTGTTAGACAATGTTTTTTCTGGAAATTGATATTTTTTTATATTTACCAGTATATCGCACACTTGGGCTTATTTTTGAATTCTTAGAAAAATAAAACTTATACTTTTTTTTACATCTGGTACTACGCCTTCTTCCTGAAGCATGTCTATTGAATAAGTAATAATATTATCAATACATTTTTTTCGGAAATTTTACAATCGGCTTCATGTGCATTATTTAAAGTTCTTTCATTTCGGTTGATTATAAAGTAGGTCTGTGCTGAGATTTTACTATAATAATTTGATATTTCAAAATCACCCCTAGTATTTGGATTGTTTAAAATGACTCTCAGTTCGGTTGCTTATAGTACAGGATCCCAAGACTGCCGGACCTCACTTATTTTCTCATGGACGAAATATGGATTATCGAGTAGTATTAGTGTGTACAACGAATGTATATATACTCGCTACTTGTGCTGTGGGCCAATTTTCACCAATCACGTGGCACAGGCACGTAAAAATTTTACTCATTTTACTTACAGTCTGGGGACTGATTGTTACGAGAATATTGTGAACAATTTGAAATTAATACTGCCTGACACATTCTGTTCGCAATATTTATTGCCAGACACTTTTAATGTCTAAAGCTAAAAACACAAACTTGCTTATTGTCTGAAATAATTTTGATAATTAGATAATAAGAAGTTATTTAATTATTGTAAAAGGCTTCCTGTACCCTATTTATTACATAACTTTAATGAAGCTGTATTAAAAAGACACTTAATAAGCATGAGCACGCCTGTCCTCACAGTGGCAGTTGAAATAAGCTTAGGGAATTTTTGATCCCGAAGTTTTGACCGGCAACTTACAAAATATAATAATAGCCCCCTAAATATCATAGATAAAATGTCAGGTCTCAGACAGTAAGTAAGTTTTATAGTTTTTGCTTTCGACATTTAAAGTGTCTGGCAATAAATACTGCGAACAGAATGTGTCCGGCAGTATTAATCAAATTGTTTACAATATTCTCTACAACATACGTAATAATCAGTCCCCAGACTGTAAGTAAAGTGAGTAAAATTTTTACTTGCCTGTGCCACCTGATTCGTGAAAATTGGCCCACAGCACAAGTTAGCGAGTATATATACGTTCGTTGTACACACTAATACTACTCGATAATCTATATTTCGTCCATGAGAAAATAAGTGAGGTCCGGCAGTCTTGAGATCTAATTCTATTATAAACAAGGTCTATGTCTAAGTATATGATTATAAACACGCCTAGAAAGAGCAATCCAAATAAATGTAGTGATTGTTTTAAAGCAGTCTATGTGTGCGTGGATGAGGAGCTCGATGGCGCAGGTGGCTAGCGCGTTCGGCTGCGATCGTTGAAGTTAAGCAACTTTCGCAGTGGTCGGTCATTGGATGGGTGACCAAAAATTTACTATCTCGAGCTTCTCCGTGCTTCGGAAGGCACGTTAAGCCGTTGGTCCCGGCTGCATTTGCAGTCGTTAGCACCCACCAATCCGCACTGGGTCCGCGTGGTGGGTCATGGCCCAATCTCCCTATTCCATCCATTGGGAAGGCCTGTGCCCCAGCAGTGGGGACATTAATAGGCTGATGATGATGATGATGATGATGATGTGTGCGTGTGTAGCGACGAGCGTATCTACCTTATGTACAGTACCCTTAGCACGAACCACTCACGCACGGATGTTTGCGAGTCCGAAATGTCATTGTCAAATGTGTACTAATTTTTAGTTACAAAATTTGACATTGACATTTAGTTATAGATATTAACGGGATTGTTACCATGTACCTTGTTTCTTATGAGTCTCCGATATTTCGGCACTGTTGCAAGCGCCATGATCACGGAGTAACTGATCATGAAGTTCACGGAGTTACTCCGTGATCATGGCGCTTGCAACAGTGCCGAAATATCGGAGACTCATAAAAAACAAAACTGATCATGAAGTTCACGGAGTTACTCCGTGATCATGGCGCTTGCAACAGTGCCGAAATATCGGAGACTCATAAAAAACAAGGTAAATGGTAACAATCCCGTTAATATCTATAATGTTAGTGACCATGAAAGTTTAAAACAATATATTGACTTTTCGATTTGCAAACTATTCGAATTCGATTATAATGGTTCGTGCTAGGGGTACAGGTCGCGGCACGTAACTCTAGCGCTAAACAAAACGCGGAGGGGATAGTTCCGCATGGGTACGACTGGAGAGCCAATCGGCGCAACGCACGCCCACCCGCGCACCTCGTTTCCCCCCAAGACATCTTAATTTTTACTTCTGCGCAATGACAGCGCTAGAGTTTCGTGCCGCGAAAAAATTATCTACTATAAATATAGTAGATAATTTTTTATCTTTCGTGCAGTTACTACGTTGTCTGGGCGTGTATTTAATCAAAGGCTAAAGTAATGTTTGCTTCTACAGTTTGATAGGTACACTAGTACATCTCCATCTATTAATTGTTGTCTGTATAGTTGAATCAACGTTTATGACCTGATTATTGGCTGTTCTCAAACATACCTGCATTAGGTAATGATTAATTAAATAAACAGTTAACGGGTTGATTTTATAGTTATAGAATTGGTTGTTATATGATTGGATTTAGTTTACAAGATGTTTCAATTTATTAACAATGCTGTCGCAACTTTCATTGTATCATATAATTACATTGAACAATTATTTGAATACATAATGTAATGCAATGTAGTGTAAACAGAAATGATTGTTAGAGTCTGTGCGGAAAGAGAATGGGCGTGGCGCAAAATGGAACTAACATTAAGATGTTTATTTGGCAATCAAAGCCAGCAATCTGTAAAACGTCAAAGTTTTGTATTGATACGGATTTGTTAGTTGTTGTGATTTCTTGCGGTTTTTTGTATTTAATCATGTCCAAAAGGGGTAAAACCTTACAAATACGGTAGAAAAGCACTACAGCGCCCTCCAATCTAAATCCCATTCTCTTTCCGCACAGACTCTATCATAGATGTGATGCTTTGCATGCATTTACGGAATAATATGATTTTATTTCGATGTATAATTACGAATTTCATAATAATTGTTATTTAGTATTTACTAACTCTGTCTACCTCTTTGGGTAGTTAACGTAACCTTACGTACCTATTTAATTTGAATGGAAGTGGGTCCTGGATATTTGTCTACCTAGATTTATTCCTTAATCATCTCAATTAAACAATATACATATATTTTCTATAGGCAATGATGAGCATAATTTTAAACGTATTGGGCACGCAAAATAATTCATTCATTCAATAATTCATGATTTTTTTTCTTAAAATATGCAATACTGCTAAAATTATAGCTATTAACGGGATTGTTACCATGTACCTTGTTTTTTATGAGTCTCCGATATTTCGGCACTGTTGCAAGCGCCATGATCATGAAAGAACACATAAAAGCAGTCAGAAATAATGATACGCAAAAATCAGCCATCGCGGAACACTTAATTGATTCGGGTCCTAATCACTGGATTAAGTTCCATAATCCACAAATTATTTCGACAGAACGCCACTACATACCAAGATTGGCCAGGGAAGCGATTGAAATAACCAAACACAAGAATTTCAATTCGAATCAGTGGTTCGTATGTGTAAAAACCGCAAAAATCAAAAAAGTGTCGTTCCGCGATCTGATACTGTGAGTATTGTGTGTCGGGAACAAGTGCGAGTGAATAGTGAGAATGTGACCAGTGGTAGGGGTATCGAGCGCAGTAAAAGACGACGTCAGAGGGTAGACCGATATGTCTGCCAATAACATCTACCCGCAATTACTTCGGTTACTCCGTGATCATGGCGCTTGCAACAGTGCCGAAATATCGGAGACTCATAAAAAACAAGGTACATGGTAACAATCCCGTTAATAGCTATAATGTTAGTGACCATGAAAGTTTAAAACAATAATACTGCTAAAAGTTTTATAGCATTTGAATTAAATACTGAATATCGTATTCCCATTACAGAACAGGAAACTGATAAATTTTCTTCTTTAGATTATATCGAACAATGGTTTCAAACATGCATTCATTCACAAGCTTTGAAATGTTTAGCAGACTGTAATTTGAAGCTCTTCTCATCATAATGTAATCCTACTTATTGTCTCCCAGTCCTTTATGTAAAGTAATTAGCAAGTATTATGTTCGAAATGTAGCAAGTCGAAAGAGAAATCCGCCAGCCCCATAATAATTTGTATTAAAATTTAAAACAACATTTTGACTTGGTTAAATACCTTTTAGTCGTTAGGCAGAAGCGTTAATTAGATTAATTTGATGATTTTGTAACATAAATCGTTTTTGTTATATATCTCATTTTGAATGTCCTGAGAGAAATACTCAGCTTCTACCGTGGATAATTATTTTTTCTTGAACTAAGTCTCTTGAATGAACATTTTGATATGATTATAATATAAAGTATTACCCGTTATTTAGTTTCAATAGTAAAAGCGAAGTGTTTAGATGTTGCACAAAATAATTAACTTAAGTTGTGTGAAATTTCTTTTTTTTTCTAAATGGCTTCGAACGGCTTGTGCATTTAGCCAATGTCAAGTGTTAAAATGTTTACAAATTTTAAAGCACTCGTGGTCAAAGTAATAAATCAAGTCAAAGTAAGTGGCAGTCTAGTCAAACCCCCTTTCCCTATGTTTCAGTATTTCAGTAAATGTGTGGGGATTTACTGGAACCTCCCCCCGAAAGACACTTTCCGCTATTTTGTTTCACTTGCCAACACCTGTGCATGTTCCCGAACACTTAGTGGTTAATAATCCACCATTATTAGACACTAACATCCGCCACAACACAATTTTTGACAAGAAAAACAAAACTGCTAAAGTGACGCTTCCCGATCCCGCCAAAAAGTCTGTGAAATTTCTTAATTTATGTAAGAGTTTACTTTCCGAGTTGAATTTCTATAGTTTTTTTTTTCAACATCTTAAGTTGTTGGAATAAAGCAACAGCACAGACTACTTTTATCATAAAACAAGATTGAATATCAATCAAATCAGCAATGATAATTTGATTACCGCTGTTACCATCTACAAGGGAGTAGATTCGTGAA